CACACACACACACACACACACACACACACACACACACACACCACACCACATTACATCACATCAGAAACAGAAAAGCATAAAATTCAAAACTTTAAAACAGTCAGAAAAGGGGCTGGAGAGATGGCTCAGCAGTTAAGAGCGCTGATTGTTCTTGCAGAAGACCCGGGTTTGAATCCCAGCACCCACATGGCAGCTAACAACCGTCCATAACTCCAGTTCCATTTACCTACATGCAGGCAATACACGCATACACATAAAATAAAAATAATAAAATATTTTTAAAAAACAGAAGAAAAACTACAGTATAATGTTTCTTCAATCTTTAGGTAGGATTTGTTTTAAAATTTTTTATTTATTTTTATTTTATGTGTATGAGTGTTTAGCCTACAAATATATGTGTACCTATGTTGTGTTATACAGAGGCCAGAAGAGGGAACTGGGGTTATGAACGGTTGTTAGCTACCACGTGGGTGCTGGGAACTGAACCTAGGTCCCCTGAACCATCTCTCCAGCCTAGGATAGGATTTCTTAAATAAGATGCAGCAAGCTTTAAGCAGAAGATGGATAAATCTGACTATATTAAAGTGAATAATTTCAGTTCATTGAAGAGACCACACAGAAAGTGAGAGGACAAACCACAAACTAGGGTAAGGCATTTGCCACTCATCAATGACAAAATATCAAATTATATAAAACATACTAAGAACTTCCACAAAAAAATAAGAAACATCCTCTCAAACAGGCCAAAGACCACAAGTAGTATTACAGGAAACGAAATTTGAGATCCAATAGTTACATGAAACTGGCTTCAGTTTCCTAGTCATCAGAGATGAAATTAAAATCATGATAAATCCTTTTATTCTCAATCCGCTGTCAAAAAAAATCTTAAGGCTTTCTTATTTTCTTTAATTTTTAAAATTATTTTTACGTGTATGAGTGTTATGCCTGCATGTGTTTAAGTGCACTCATGTCGTCCAGCGCCTGGAGAGGACAGAAGAGGGCGTCGGATCCCCTGGAACTGCAGTTATGGACAGTTGTTAGCCACCAAGTGGGTGCTAGGATTCGAACCTGGGTCTTCTGCAAGAACAGCCAGTTCTCTTAACAGCTGAGCCATCTCTCCAGCCCTGCTTAAGACTTCTTAATATCAAGTGTTGGCAAGGACGTGGAATGAGAAAAATGTCTCAAGAGTACAGCAGAGAGTGCAAATTGGCTCTACCCTACAAAAACAATTGGGCAGAATTTGTGTGAAATGAACATTTGCACACTGTGTGAGCTGCTGATTCTATTTTTGCTGTACGTGGCAAAGAAACCCTTGTCCAAGTATACCATAAGCCCCATAAAAATATTCACAAAGCACTCTAATTGTAAAAACTCAAAGAACCCTAATGGTCATTGTTAAATAGGTAATTAAATTTTATATTCATATACTGGATTCATGTTACATCAGTAAACATGAATCAAATGCTACAGGCATCAGTCAACACAGTTGGATCTCAGAAATACATTACTGATGGAAACAGTAAGGCAGAGAATAAAACATATATGATGGTTTATGACTACTTCCATACTATTTAAATCCAATCAATGCTCTATTAGGAGCTCTTAGATATGTGGTTCATTCATGAAGAAGCTCAGAAAAAGGATAAAGAATTACCTGGCCCGGTTAATTACTGTAACATTGGTTAATACATGGGAAATTGACGTATTCAAGGTTATCTTTGGATTAAGTGTGCCTTTGTATTAATTCAGTAGGTTTTGAGTATCTCCTACAGGGTTTTGAGGTACTGGGGGTGTGGAGGACAGGGACTGGGGTAATATGGAAGTCTTCTGATATGGATTGCCAACAATTGCTTGTATCTCTAAGCCTGGATGCCCCTCCCAGCCTAGAGGTGGCCCACTTCAGTCCTCTTGAATCTTGGCTAAGTTTGACTTGCCTTTATCAAAATAATGTAATGAAATAATAGGCTGGTTCCCCTGATCCCAGGCCTTGAGGATTGGTGATTTCTGCCTTCCTTCTTTCCAGAGTTCAACTGATGAACTATCAGGACACCAGGATAGACTGGCGAGGATCGGTTTCCTGAGGCCCTTGGAGGGTGTGCCCATCGTGGGCGTCAACTTCCAGCTAAGCTGCCCTAGCTAAATACAAATCAAGAAAGCAGTTACTGCAGGACTTAGTCCTTCAGTCATGCAGTTGAACTGTGTCAATCCACATAAAGGAAAAGCTTAAAGTGCCATCGGGTCATGGGGTTCCGGGGTGCTATTATAACCAGACTCAGGTCTATTTGTTGCTCAAAAGCCAATATGCAAAGACACTGAAGTTGGTAGGAAGGAAATTAAATTTATTCAAGGGTGCTATCCCTAGAGCACTGTCTTGCAGAACGAAGGCACATGAAGGAGTTTTCAGAGAGAAGGAGCAGTGGGCAGAAGTTGCAAAGGTGAGTGAGGAGCAAGGTCGAGTGAGGTCTGTCACTGGTCTTCGTCTTTTCTTCCCTTTGGTCAGAACATAGCAATCGACCTGGACCTCCTGGGGCTAATTCTTCTATTTATTTATAGGAACATACTACTTTTCTGGCATTTCAACCTCAGTAGCTTTTATGCTTCATTATGGACCTGAAGAAAAAGGAGGAAGGGGCCTGCCTTACACACTTTGATGTGGCCTGAAGGTCACCAAATGCTCTGAGCTCTAGACATCTAAAGAAAGATTTAGCAGCATTTTAATCGTTCAGGTGTAGCTTTATTTAGCTTTGTGAATCAGGGAAGGGGAAGTTACTTCGCAAAGGACAACTTGCCATGTCACAGTATTGGGAATCTTCTTTCCGTAGACGACTGATAGGTTTTGCACTACTCATTAAACTTTATAACTTATTGATAATGTCATACTAACGATGTCAAATATTTTGCCTGTAATAAATGCTTCATAATGCAAACCACATGCCCAAATGAAATCACCAGTTGTGGCTTGGTCTATAAAGATGTTATCTCAGTAGTTCGGTGTGCTTCACAACTGTATTAAACATCTTATCCTGTGAGCTGCTTGTTCATATTCTTTTCCCCACTTATCAGACTTTTCATTTTGCATGATTTGTTAAAAACTTTGCATATTAAGGACAATAGCTTTTATGTTGTTTGATAATCATCTTCCAAGATTGCTGCTTATAAACTAAAGGCCCATGGTAGATTTTGCTGTATATAAATTTTAGCTCTACATTAATTTTCACTTAGTGGGGATAATGCTTTCTTTTTGTGGGGGAGGGTACTGACACGGGGTCTCCCTATATCCCCAGTTGGCCTGAAACTCTATATGTAGACCAGGCTGGCCTCAGTCTCCACTGATTTCTGCCTCCTGAGTGCTGGGATTAAAGGTGTGCAGCACCTAGATTGCTTATTACTGTCTTCTTTTCGAACATATCTGGCTTTATTTCATGTATAAAATTTGATTCATTCAGAATTCATTTTGGCCAGAAAGGTAGGATATAGGTTTGGTCAAAATGGCTTGTCAGTTCTTTCTTAAAAATAACCCACGAGTCCCCACTAACTTGAAATGCCATGCTAAACCATATATCAAATTTCCTTGTAATTTAAGCCGATTCTGAGTCCCCCACTGTGTCCTACTGACCTCTTCCTCTGCTACTCCAAACTCCTTATCATCATTTGCACTGAATATGAGAAGGGCAGTTCTCTGCCCTTTGTGGGATTTATATGGCTTTTCCTGTTGACTTTTTCCCAAGAACTGATTGTGTCAAGTTCAAAACCAAATTGGGCTAGCATTTTAAACGATTGCATGGCATTTAGAAGGAAGCTAAGGGACACAGGATGCCTTTGTTCCCGAACAAGGTATGTCTGCATGAGTCTGAATCTTTTGTGTCCCCTGAGAAGTCAGTAAGACTGAAGAGCTCTGGGGTGTAGGTCCCCACCCACCCTCAATCCCAGACAAGGCACAGGTTTTACTTCCTGGGTCCACTTAACCAAGGCCAGGGCCAGTTCTCCCTCCTCCTCCCTCACCCTTGGAGAATATGACCCTGTGACTATTTCAGATCCGTCAAGAGCAGTTACCAATTGCCCAGACATTGTGGAGAACTCGACACTGTCTTTGCGCAATGCTGATGTCATCTGCCAGTGAAATATGTTGCATGGTTCTTTATGGGCACTTAAAAACAGCTTGACCTTGGGTGGTTTCCCAAAGCTCTCTGGGTACTTCCCTGTTCCTCAGTTACAAATGTGAGCCCCACTTGACTCAGACCCTGTCCCAGGGACAAGGGAAACAATGGAAGGGACACCCCATGTTCCCTGGCTGAACCGGGGACTAAGGCTGCCTCTTAGGGGCCAGATGCCAAGGTCTGACTTCTCCTTGCCTATCATCTCTGCTGCTTTGTCCCCGGGGTACCCCCAACCCATTAGGTAGCCCTACCCACTACACCAGGGCCAAAGTCAGAAGTATAAGATTTTTTATTTTCTACAGACACTCCTGAAAAGAGATCTAATAGAGAAAATATACAAAGCATTTAAGAGTTTCATCTCCAGGGAGCACCCAAGTCTGACTGGAGGCACCAAAGCCTCTCCCAGGCCCAGGGCTGAGGACGGTGAGCACATGGAACATCAGTAAAAACATGCAAAAGTGAGAAGGAGAAGGGAAAACGTGGCGCTCCCCCACAGGAGGAGGCAGGGACAAAGTACCAGGGGGCTCTCCCTCCCCCTTCCATCTTTCACAGCAGCGCTGGCCTATGGAAAAGCATGAGCTCGCCCACTGCCCAGAGCCTGCAGTTCCCTGCAGATGACTCCCCACCGTGCCTGTCCCTCCATGCCCGCCTGCTCCTGACTTGGCTGTGGGCAGCTTGTGTTCTAGGTGCCAGGCCAGGAGGCAGCCGGTTCCTTATTTCTTTGGTTCCACTCAGACAACAATTGTGCTTGGCAGATTCATCCCACCCCCAAACTCCAGACTCTTTCTGGTAGGCTGAAGGCACAGGCAGGAGTCCTGAGAGACCCCGGGATAACCACCATGTCTTTGTGCTCTGACGGGTCAGACCCAGGACACAGCTCCTATCGTTAGTCCACAATTATGCCTACAAACCAGGACGGCAGAGGAGGTGCACCATGCAAGGAAAAGTCTTCAGGACTTCTCCAGCTGTGCAGGGTATTTCTGAATCCCATGCCGAGTCCCTGTCCATGTCCCTGCCCCAGGCCGTCACGTGTCCAGGACCCCTCCCTTTAGTCCTTCCCCTTGGCCCAGCCACTGGGGAGTTGACTTCAAGATGATGGGTCACAGAAACCATCTTGGGCAACTGTTTTCTCCCACCCCACACCTGGGAGGCCAGCAGAGGTAGGGGCCTCAAGAGATCCTGGCCCTGGTACAGGGAGGTGGGCAGGGCTGGAAAAGAAAGGTGGGACACGTCACATCTATGGAAAGGCGCCCAAGGTACAAGCTAAGCAGGGGGAGGGAGGAGGGCCAGAGAGTGGCCAGAAGGAGAAAGAAGAGGGTATGGGTGGGCCTGGGGGAGAGGCCTCACACCACCCCACAGATAAGCGTCTCCACCACAAAGGTGTTCTCAAAGTGCCGGATGGCGTTGCAGTTCTTGGCTCCTCGTTTGTTGATCCCTGGGAAGTAACAGAAAAATCCCAGTAAGGTCTGTATCTGGGCCTAGAAAGGTAGCCAACCTCTGAGTCTGAGAGGGGCCTTGGGGCCTGGCAGGGCAGGCAGGAGGAGACCCCAGAAGTGACACCCAGAAGCAGCACTGTGGAACGGAAAGAGCTCCTAAGCTCCTAGCCTCAGTTCTGTGCCTGTCACCTCCCTGCTGTGTGACATTAGGGGTGCTACTTAACCTCTCTGTGCCTCCTGTTTCCTTATCTTTAAAAATGATGATGATAGTCAAGAGGGCAAGGCAATGTGAGGCACACTGTAAAGTAGTTGTTTAACATTCACTGGGGTCAGGTTATATCCTGGTATTTGGGCTCTTGGACGCTGTCAGAGGCTGACTGGGATTTGGAGCCCAGGGCAGGGGCCTGCCACTCACGTCTCCTGGTAGCCCGGCGCCGTAGCCGGTAGGTGTCCTTCCCATTGCACAGGTGGAAGATGAAGGAGCCCAAGGCCTCCTTGTCACTGACGTGCTCTGTCACCACCATCTCTTCCTGGATGATGTACGTCTGTGGTAGGTAGGTGCCTCTCTGCAAGGTGAGGGGTCGTGGCATAGGGTCAGTTCCCAGGCCCCTCCCACCATGCTCTCACACACCCCTGCTCCACCTCTGAAATGTTACACACACACACACACACACACACACACACACACCCTCATTCCCATTCTCGCTAGCCCTTCTGATGTCCCCAGACTGGTGCCTGTCCTGCGCTGTGGTGAGCTTTGGCATGTGTGCACGTATGGCCTCCTACCCTAGGGGAAGAGCTCTTGGGTGCAGGGCCTGCATTCTCTCCCCTCATGCTGGCCCCGGGCATGAACTTGAATGCTAAAGGAAGCTGTCCTTGAGATTCTATGAAAAGAGAAGTAACTCCGAGGATGGGTCAGGGCTCGGTGGAGCAGTGCCCCTTCTGGGATTCAGGAAAAATAGCCCTCATTTCCCCTTCCACAGCAAGCTCCCTTGCTTCAGAGTTGGCTTTCTCAAAGGAGGAGACAGGTGGGACAAGATGTTGCTCACCTTCACGTTCATGAGAAGCTCCCAGAAGTTGCGAGGGGGCAGGACGATGGTGGTGTTCAGCTCAATGACGTAGCACTTGTCTAGGGAGATGTCGTGGTAGGCAGTGAGACCCTGAGAGGGAGGGGGTATCTGTTAGTCTCTGTGGGAGGCAAAGGCCTGTGCCAGGCCAGCCTGCTGGAGGCTTCTAGCCAGCAGAGGCCTGAATCCTACCATTCAATCCCAGCTCTGAGGCTTCAAAAGTGGACCCCCTCCGCCCCACCAAGTTCCTGGACATCTGGTCAAGTGCATCCTCCTCCCGCTCCTCTCCAGCCCAGGCTGGTGAAGGCACTACTTAACAGACAAATCACACTGGTTCATTTAATGCCTCAGTTACTACGAAGGCAAGATTTCCTGGAGTTTGCAGGGTTAGGTGAGCATTGGGGCGCCTGATTATATCCCAACTATGCATTTCATCACACTGGTGAGGTGCAGCTGTCCTCTAGAAAGATGCCATGTTCCAGTCTCCCCAGGCCTCTGCTACAGGGCACCCAAAACAGAGAACAGGGTTAACAGACACCTAGCAGGCTTTGGAAAGCAGCTACCTGGGAAAGAGTTAGGGCCTGCATCTTGCCGGCCTCAAAAGCAGCTGGGCAAGGGTGGTACCCTCAAGGGAGAAGGAACTGGCTAGGAAAGGCAAGCAGGAGCCTTCCAGAGTGCTGGCAGTGGGCCTGACCTTGACCTGGGTCGCTTTACAGAAACTCATACCTCTGTAGAAACCCACTTAGCACGTCTGACATTGGGTATGCAAAGGTGAGCAGACACGGGATCTGTGGCCTCACCAAGGCAGCCAGCTCCTGTAGCTGTCAGAAAGCCCAGGATAAAGCACCTCACTCCCACCCCAGTCTACCTGTGGCAATAACAAACAGTGCTACCTTCGTCATAAATGCAGTATCTTCAAAAGGCTAGTCAGGGTGACTCAGACACAGTTTATACACATTCCAGGGATTCTCTGGTGCTCTTGCTCCTTGTTCCGGGTTCCCAAGACAGTCTCCCACTGTTTCACCCCAGGTCCAGGCTAGCCACTGGCTTCCCACAAGTCAACCTCACCCGTTGGAAGTCATGGATGATGTCTGCAGGGTCCCCACCGCCAAACTGGGGCACAGGGACATTGATACGCTCATAGTTCTCTTCGAGGTAAATCTTCACGTCCTCTTCCAGTTCCATCCGAGTCCGGATCTGGGAGGACAGGGAGTCCTCATAGAGCACACCACAGTGGAAGAAGTTATCTCGGGCCAGCTGCACGAGGAGAGACAGATGGTCATGCAGGGTGGTGACATGGCTGCACAGCCTATCCGTCTACGTCAGGCCTGGGAAGCAGGAAGTATGAGGTCTGGAAAACTATCAAAGACGGGGAAACTGCGAAGCATGGGGAGGCAGATCAGAGTCCAGGGCTGCTCGTGAGAGATGAGGTGAGCCTTAGAGAAGGTAGTTCAGTCACATACATGGAAAGGAGAATGAGTGGGGACTGCCATTCATGGATGGAAGACCTCTCTGAGCCTCAGTTTCCCCATCTGTAAAGCATCGTGATTTCTTTTTTAAAATTTATTTATTATTTTTATTATATGTGTATGAATATATTGCCTGCATATATATAAGTACACTGGTGTCGGTAATGCCCATGCAGGTCAGAAGACAGCGTTGGATTCCCCTGGAACTGGAGTTATGGATGGTTGTTAGCTACCATGTGGGTGTTGGGAACCAAACCCAGGTTCTCTGCAAAAGGAATCAGTGCTCTTAACCACTAAGCCATCTCTCCAACCCAGCATCATGATTTCTAAGGTCTCTCTGGCCTCAAAGTTTGAGAGTCTATGAAACAGGTGGGCAAGCAAGAGGAGAATCAACTGGCTTTGTAGGTTGGACAGAGGGTAGATCCTACAGAAAGCCTGAATGGGCAGGAGGGACAAAGCCACGGGGTGGACAGGCCGGGCCTGTGGGCACCACCAGAGACACCCACCTGCAGACCTTGGGTGGAGGAGGGGCTCTAAGACAACGTGGCAGTAGCTCCTGTGGACAGGTCCCACCACTCCTAGACATGTGCCCCTGAGCAGCCTTAAGTACCTGTCACTGTCCCATCAGGCAGATGGTTTAATTGTTCCTCAGCAGCTGAAGTCACGCAAATGTCGCAGGCATCAACTGGGCAATGGGGCCACCAGTGTGCTCACCATGACTTCTCCAGGGATCCAGCGCTCCAAGGTACTACTGCCTGACATAATTAGCAGAATTTCCCTTTCTCTGTTTGAGAAACTCTCCTAAGATGAATCATCACAGTCGCACGAGGCCTTGAGGGCTTGAGGGAGCCCAAGGGGGAGGCAAGGAAGGCCCTGGGTGGCAGCCAGGCCAGAGGCAGACTGGATTACTCACACTGTCCCCAGGATACTTGGGAACTGTCTGGGAAGTGGTAAGGGGTGAGGAACCCCAAGAGCATGAGTAGGGTCTGGGAAGAGAAAAGAGACCAGAGCCACAGCATGAAAAAGCCAGAGAAGGGTCCTGTATCACAGAAGGAGGAGACATGCCTGGCAAAAGGCAAGCTCGGAAGTGTAGGAAGCTTGTTCTCAGGGGAAGTCCTGGAGGTGTGAGTGTGGGAACGGAGGTCTCCAGGGGAAAGCCAACAGACTCTCCAGGTATTTCCACTGTGGAAAACCGAGGTGACAACAACACTAAATGCTTAAAGACTGTACAGGTCATTTGGGTCAACAGTGACCGGCAATCCTAGCCTTGGCTCACCCTGAGCTTCCCCGTTGATAATATTCATGCTTACTCTCTCGAGCTACTTTTAATTTAACTGCAATCAGCATGCAAGTGTGGTGACACTTCCTCTTCCCCAGGTCTGGAGAGTCCAACTTCCAGCCCAGATTGCTAGTGGATGTGACTGGGGGGAGGAGAGCTCCTTTATAGACCTAAAGACTGTGGTGAGCTATGCATGACCATCTGGAACCCAAACGTCTGCAAAGGGAATTGAGTTAGGTCATGTGCCATAAGACCCTTGGTTACAGAGTCTGGGCTCCAAAGAATCACAAACTACCAACTTCTCTGTTGAACCCGAGAGCTAGTGACAATTCCTTAAAGTGGCTCTGTGGGAGGGGCTCCAGTGCTGCTGCCTGGATCCATATTTGACCCTCCAAAATAAGGGCAGAAGTTGAGGCAGTCTGAGCCCAGCAAAAAGTTACTGGGAAGGAAGGGAACTGTCCCCTGGGCCTGCCGATGCCTGGCTCTCCTGAGTGCAGGTCTAGGGCTTCTTGATGTCTCCCTTCACATGTCCCCAGGCCCTGGCTCTCCACGGCTCCTACACGCTCAGCACACTTCCCTCATTCTTGTCTCCGTGCTGCCCCTTCTCCACCCACCTGCCTGACTCCTTACCTGAGCAAGGAAGAAGTATCTGTAGATGTAGACGGAGGCGAAGACGAGGCCCATGAGCAGCACGACCATGCCCATGGACAGGTAGCACACGCCGCCCACCGAGCCCCCTTTCCTGGAGCGGTGGCGAGGGGGCCGCTCCTCCTGTGAATGGAAGTTCTGGGGTCAGGCTGGTGCCCCAGAGGGGATCTTCTCCTGAATTCTCCCTCCCCTAAGTGAGATCACCCCTCTGGCTGGGCTAAGAGCCCTGGGGGAACAGAAGGGCAGCACAGATTGCCTGAATGAAAAGGAGCCTTGACAAGGTCTCCCCTTCCAGTTAGACAGAAAATGAGCCCCCTAAAAACAATCAGCTTGGATTAAACACACACATTTTGAATGGCCTGTCTGTTTAGATTCCTTAGTAGACCAGCTTGACTACCTTCCAGTCCTTCAAACAGAGAGCGGGATATACCAAATGGCCTTAGTGACTCGATTAGACCAAGGAGCCCAGACTCTGTAACCAAGGGAACCAGATGTATCTGGTAGGCTGGGAGCCATTGCCCTGGGCAACGGGAAGCCCAAGAGTGACAAGACCCACCTTGAAGTTGGAGCTACAGGATGGAGTGGGAGAAGGGCAGTGGGTGACGGATGGGAAGAGGTACTGGTTATCTTTTTCCTTGCTGTGATCAAATACCTGGTAAGAAGCAACTTAAGGGAGGGTTTCTTTTGGCTTACAGTTTGAGGATGCAGTCGACCACGGTAGGGAAGGCATGAGGGAGGTTTGCTCATTCACATCTGGGGTATTAGGTAGCAGACAGATGAATGCTGGCACTTAGCTGGCTTTCTCTTTTTATGCAATCTGGGTTTTCAGCCCATGAGATGGTGCTACCCACAGTCAGGATGTGTCTTTCCCTTATCAGTTAAACCTCTGTGGGAAAACCTCACCAACTCATGCAAAGGTATGCCTCATTTTAATGCCTTAGGTGTGTCTTAATCTAATCAGGTTGGCAATAGAAATCAGCCATCACAGGAGACTGGTGTGGAAACTGTTGGACTCTACTAGGGTGGTCACTGACTGTTGGAAGCAGGGGCTTTGAAAAGCCCAGAGGATCTGGTCCTGGGTGCTTATCTCCAACCAAGCAGCCCTGGACTGTTTACTGTGCTCAACTATTCCTCCATGGTATCAGATGGTCTGCCAGAAGTAAAGTCTATAAGGTGAAGTTTGAAAACATCTGGAAGGTGGGAATTCTCAGAAGGAAGGAAGCATGGCTGTAAGGGAGGCCAGGCCACAGAGCTCCAGAAAAATAGCCTGCTTCGGGAGCCGGACTTGGGCTCAGTTGCAGGACTGCCAGAACACTAGCCAGACCCACCTCCAGGCCACACATATCTGAGCTAGTGAATGGTGTATGAGTGTACACGTTAGCATAACTGCCTTGCCCGGAGCTAGACTGAGGGCTAGTGGGGTAACCTTGGCTATTTCTCTGCCTGACTTCCCTTCCCCCACCCTAGCCTAGGTTGGCCCTTGTCTATCCTTGGAGATGTCACAGAAGTCCTAGATTTGTTTCTGCCTCTAGTATTTGCCACTTAACCCTTTTTTCTGTGCTGTTCAGACATGGCCAAGACATGTCAGAAGTTAATACCCACAGACCTGCCCCCCTCCCCAACCTTGAGAAGCTTTGGCAGACTAGGGAATGGAGCTTTCCCATAGGCCAAACAAGCAGGTCTCACTGACCCTGCCATCATGTTGTGGAATCCTGTTGTGTTTCTCTTTTCCCTGAAGTGTTGGGATGGTGGGGGATACCCTCCTGGCTCCTGTCCAGGTACCTCAGGTCAGACCATTCTTAGCACAGTGTGGAGGTATGGGCTTTGGCCTTAGGACTAGGGGTGAGCCCCACCGGAGGGTCTGATTCCCTGCTGCCTGGCACTCTTCAACTCAACCTCTAGAATAGGACAGAAAATGTCTGGGGGTCCTACACTGACACATTCCTCAGTGTCCCACTCCCCACCACATGGCCCATCCTGCACCCCACCCATAGGTCTGCCCTCCAGAGAGCTGGTCCAGGGCAGCTGCTGGCCCTAGGGGCAGGGGACTACAGTGGCATTCAGTTCACAGTGAAACTCTGGGGTGATCTATAACCAAGGTCCATCGGCATCGCCCAAGAACAAGCCACCCAGGGCTCCTGCACATGAGGCCGGCAGAGATGGCTGTGGTGGTCTGCTCTTGTGGTCATAAGTGATCACAGGAAAGGCCTAGGACAGGACAGGCTGCCCTCAGGGCACAATGTACTCCAAGGCCACACTGTATCTAGGGAGTTGAGGGCCAGGGGATTCCAACAGGACGGTGCATGCTCCATCCTTACTCAGGTCTTCTGGAGGTGACCAGCCTCTAAGGGAGGAAAAGAAACAAAGAACCTGAAAGCCCTTTGTAGAGGACAAAGTGTGAGATAAAAATAGCTCTACGGGCTGGGCCTTCCTTTTTTAGGGCTGCCACTGCTGTAGAGGCTGCATAGTGCCTATGCTTTCGATCCTGGAAAACCAGAAAAGCTAGCTTAGGGAGTTACTGAGGAAATCAAATGAGAAAGGGGAGGGAGGAAGAGCGGGAAGGGGGGGGA